TGCGTTCCTCACCTTCGGCTCCTAAAGTGCATAAACATTTCCCCTTCTCAACATCCTACATCGAATCATCTTCCTTTATAAAATGCACCCGAATGTTGTCTTGACCTATCCTCGACGACTTTTCTAAAAACTCCACCCTCGAACCCAGCATCCCGAAGTTTCCAACTTCTACAACCCTGGTTTTGAATCAGATTCTTAATATTTCCCGCGAGAACGACTAAGTGTCCGGTATCTTTCGCTCAACCGCTAAGATGCCTTAGCAATCACTAAGTAGTCCACTCGTGCTAGTGGCCCGCTCAATCGCGATAATTGATCTTTAATTACTAACTTCGCTCCGTTTATTTTGATGTTAAAACCTATTTTATTGTTAAAGACTATTGGTGTTAATAAACTTCAAGTCCCGTTAAGCATTTCGCACCTGGCATTGCTGTATCAATCCCGTGTTCGCGAGTAGCTCGAACATGTGCGGTGTTGTGATATTTCTTGGCGTGATTGGGCGGTGTGATGGTGATGTCGGGGATGGTCTTCCGGTTCGGCTCATGATTGTTCCTGGAATGGGCAGAGTTCATTAATTTGGATGTCTTGGGAAATTTAGTTTCTATTAGATTATCCTAGATATATAGCTTAAGATCCTCTATGTGTGCATTCCCGGCTTGTTTCCCGATTTCTGTTGTTAGTACGTAAATGGTAGGTGATATAATGTTTATGATAACAAATGGTCCTACGTATTTATGTGTTAGCTTGGCTGAAATGTGGTCTATGGCACAGGAAGGGGTTCTATTTCTTTGTAATACTCGATCTTTTACTTTGTATTGTATGTCTCGTCGGCATAACTCGTAGTGATGTCTTTGTTCCTCGTGCGCGGCTGGTAGATTCCGTAGCGTTTCGTCGTGTGTTATTGTAGGTGTTGGATTCCTCGTATCTATTTCTTGACGGTTTGTTGGTTCACGGTGAGTGTGACTTCGACCTTCTTTCGTAGGGAATGGATGGGTGTGAGTTCTTTGCCAAGGTTGAGGAATGCTGGTGTGCATTTGGTTGATTTTGTTGGTGTTTAATTATACGCGAATTGGAAATTGTGTAGATGTTTGTCCCAGTCTCGTTGTTCGTCCTGTATATAGGCTGTGACATGGCAGAATTCTGCCGCTACAATTAGAGGGGTAGCGGTGGCGGTGAGTACCGAATTTTGTCATTATTTAATTTCAGTATCGGTTAGCGACACTCGGGGTCATCTTGGGCGATCATTAATTATAAGTATGTCTTGTAAAAATTCATTAGTATAAGAATTGTTATTTAGTAAGTATCGTGTATGATTTGACATTGCGGGTCTTTACCACTGTCGGTACAAGTCGTGGAGGATAATTCAAGCATTCTATAACCGCGTCGCGATACTCTTCCTGACACCCGCCGTTAATTGCTGTCGTCTCACGGTTTCGGCGGCTCGTTGCGGAATCGGTGGAAGGGGTTTTCCGCAATTCGGTGGTTCTGCCGATCCTCGGAGCTCATTGTTCAGGATACTTCGAGTGTCGCCGGTGCTACCGATGGCCGCTCATCTCTCGTGGCCGTCTATGCTCTGCTCTCGTCCCGTAGTTGGTTTGCCACTAACTTGGCGAGCAAACCCAATGTGGGTTTCATTAAAGATTCGTTACCGTTCAAAATTTGAATAAATTATGACTTGTATCCTCCTCAACACGCGGCCCACCGTCCGTCCTTTTTCGTCAAGTGTGACGCCGTTTGATAGGACGCGATGTATTAAATTGCCTTTGTACCGCCGCGTTCTAGTGTCGCATAAAACTTGTCTTCTACCGATGTTAGAGTATTGTGCGTAGCATTTATTATTCGGAGCTCTCGCGTGTAAATATTATCTATGTCGTCTGTCGTTTGAGATCCTCCGGATGATCGTATCGACCCGTCGTTCCCGGAGTCCGAAACTGGCAGAGTGTGGACTGTACGGAGTTAGTGAGGGCGTTGTGCCCAGTCTTTCCTGACCGGAGTGCTGAAGGAAAATGTTCGGGAGCCTGAGGCTCCATATTAGGTGGTCGTCACGGGTGGACCAGTCAAATTTGCGCCGGTAGGATCCAGAAGTGTTTCGGTCTAATATGTTGAATAAAAGAGCTTCCGTTAAGTATTGTTTCAATATGCTTTACTTTTCTGTCCGTATCTCAAATCTGAAATCTTACCGCCGCTCTGTGCGTTCTGAGACCCCCATCTCTACCGTGCCGCAAACGGCCGCTTAGGTTCTTGCGAGGCTGAGTAGCCAGATGCCGAATTGTCTCGCGCTTTTCAGGGGGCCGGGCTGAATGTCTTACAAGGGAACATTCCCAAGTATCCGCCTCCGATCTTATTGAGTTTCATATATGTTGAAGAACACAAAAATCTAACAGACACGTGTTTTTTTATATCTGCAATGGTCCACAATTAAGGGGTGAAACAACCCCCCAAAGTTTAACGAAAAATCGGGTTTTTAAATATTTTTCGTAGGAGCAGTGGAGGGATTTCGATGAAACTTTGCGTAAACGTATTCTGTATAAGGACGGTGACAACACAATATTGTTCAGCAATGTTGCACCCCCTCAAGGGGGTGAAGTACCCTTCAGGTGACATTTTTTTGTAATATCCATTAAACAAGCACTCCTACTTAAGTTCCACTTACGCGATGTGATTGCTCGCAAAAAATTAAGAAATACGTGTTTTTTGCTTTTTGCCAATAAACATTTACACATCGATTGTAAACAATGAATGTAGGTGGTATTAGGGTATATCCCGACTACCTTTATTGGGTTATGTCGTGACCAATTCATCGTACATAAGTCGTGTCAATGTGGTAATTGTTCAAAATGTCATTGATTTTCATATCATGCAATTATTAATAAATAAATTAAAAAATAGTTTCAGAGGCTAAAATTGTTTCGCAACGGATTCGACGATGCAATCATCACCCGTTTCCACCTAGTAATACAATCTCCGTGGTGAAACGATAAAATTGGATTTTCACTGTTTTTACGATAAAATAGAGTCAGCGATATTCGATACCTAAGGTACGGGAATAGTACGTTGAATCAAATCAAATTTGGAATCGTCTACGCCGATGTGCGTTCTTATAAAGTCTGCACTGGATTCGATGCTGATCAGTTCTGATCAGGACTTCGTCCTTCATTTACGGAATAATATCATAAAATTGCAATCACTCGTGCATAATCAGTTGTCTTCTCCTAGATATAAAAGCCTGTTTCAATATGCATGGTATAAAAGTGGTTATATCGATGAATGATTAGAAAATTTCCCGAACCCGGTTAATTTTGCCTTTGAAAGCTGTTCAGTTATGAAATGTAATATTTGTGGTGCAGCAGCAATGATACGGTGTTCTTGATGCAAAAAAGCATTTTGTATAAAGCACTTTTTCCACGAATACCACTACTGTAATAAATATGATCAGTAATATTAAATAATCTCCTGCTTTATAGAAAGATGTGAAAAATATTCTCTTATAACTTCCTGTTGATTAATTTCAGAATTAATATTTATACGCACACTCTTCTTGGATGTACTATTCTCGTACCTCAGGTATCGAATATCGCTGATTCTATTTTTTCGTAAAAACAGTGAAAATCCAATTTTATCGTTTCACCACGGAGATTGTATTATTAGTTGGTAATGGGTGATGACTGCATCGTCGAATCCGTTGCGAAACAATTTTAGCCTCTGAAACTATTTTTTAATTTATTTGTAAATAATTGCATGTTATGAAAATCAATGACATTTTGAAGAATTACCACGTTGACACGACTTATGTACGATGAATTGGTCACGATATAACCCAATAAAGGCAGTTGGGATATACCCTAATACCACCTACATTCATTGTTTACAACCGATGTGTAAATGTTTATTGGTAAAATGCAAGAAACACGTATTTCTTAATTTTTTGCGAGCAATCACATCGCGTAAGTGGAACTTAAGTAGAAGTGCTTGTTTAATGGATATTACAAAAAAATGTCGCCCGAAGGGTAGTTCACCCCCTTGGGGGGTTGTAGCATTGCTGGACAATATTTTGTTGTCACCGTCCTTATACAGAATACGTTTATGCAAAGTTTCGTCGAAATCCCTCCACTGCTCCTACGAAACATATTTAAAAAACCGATGTTTCGTTAAACTTTGGGGGGTTGTTTCACCCCTTAATTGTGGACCATTGCAGATATAAAAAAACACGTGTCTCTTAGATTTTTGTGTTCTTCAACATATATGAAACTCAATAAGATCGGAGGCGGACACATGGGAATGTTCCCTTGTTGGAGGCAGTGAGTCGGCACTGACCTCGGGATCGCTCCAAACTAGTCGAGGTAGAAGAAGGACGGGTTCAATCCCTGCCCGGCAGGCGCTGCACGGATTCCGGCGTCAAACGGACGCAGAAATGTTGCCTCCACGGGGCTCCCCGCGGAAATGGCAGGGTGGAGGACGGCGTGTAGACACGTCTCTGTGTCTCAAGGCCGGCTAAATGCATCTCACAGTTTGCCGTTCGGCTGACGGAATCCACGTTTTTCTGAGTCCGCTGCCTTCGGGAGAGGGTAGAGGGATAATGTAGAGGCCGGAGCCAGCGGATACCAATGGCGCTGATAGGTGGCTTTAAGCCACAGGTACAGTCAGGGGGAGGTCCCGCCTGTAATACGGCCGAATGAACTAACTGTAGCCTAGACGCCACAAATGCGGCTATTTCAGTCAGTTAAGCGACAAAATGTAATTGAGACAGATTGTGACCCTAGCGCTTGTGTAGCGGATAAGGTAAAACGTTTTTACGGTTGTGATCGCTGCACCCGAATAACGGGATCATCTGCGTTTTTAATTCTGTCAGTACGAATTAGGTGCAGATCGTTAACCTGGCACCTGTCCTGTACAAAATTAAAACATGTCAGAGTTGCAGCGTCCTGGTCGTAGCGATCAAGACATCAGTCGCACTCCGGCCTTACATTTAAGGGAAGAAGGAAAATCTGATCGTTAACACTTACCCCCTTTTTAAGAAGAACATTCTTTAGTTTACCAGGCCACTCACGTCCTGGGTATACACCCAACGCTGGTCTATTTGCTATTATTTTCTGCAAACAAAAGTACACGTTATATTACCGGAATATTGATGACATTCGACAATTCTTATTTCATAAAACACAAACACACTGCTGCCGTAACTTTAAAATGTCAACGTTCATAAAAGCTATTGTAACCATAATATAGGTTACTCTCTATATACTGTGACATGGCAAAATTTGTCCAATCCCAAGTGGGTTTAAAGTCGGAGCAAGGAGGAGTCCATCTGGCAATCCCGTAATTTAAGATGTTCTGTTTTAATAATATTTTGGTATAATACGTTTTTGCGGTGAATTGTACCTCCGCGGAGGAGTGGCGAGTATCGGCACGCAATTTCATTCTTTCGAGGATTAGACTAAGAGCTCGTTAAAGATGGCAGGACGGAGCGCGTGGCTTCGATCCTTCCGAGGCCACGAGAAGGGGGATAACGCTAGCAAGGAAGATCTATACATTCCGTCCCAAGACAGGGAGTTCAGCGATAACAGATCTCAACGCAAAGCAGCATCAATGAACCCTGATCAGCCCAAGGGGCCTCATCTAGTACCGCCACATATTGTCCCGTTCCCGTGTGCTAGGCCGAAATCCGTCTGGTTGGCCTCGTTTTTTCATCCTCTCACATGCCGATTTTCGTCGTGGTTCCGTAATTGTAGGTCGTCTCCACCTGACCCTAATTACCGTTGGCACGACAATCCAGCGGGATTCTCGTTGATTGCACGTGAGTTACTAGTCGTGCTATGACCATCTTTTCTTGACCGCATGGCGTATCGTTGCCGCATCGCTTCCGATTACTATTATAACGGTTTTGCGTTCTGTAATTTAATAATTTCGTCGGGCGAAGACTCTCGCCCACTCACGTTTGTTGTACCCCGTACCGTTGAAATATTATTACCGTTGCCGTGAATGTGTGAGACACGTTCTAAGTGGGCGAGAGGTAATAGCATCATATCGCGGAAACACCGGAACCCCCAGCTCTGCCGTGCCGTAAAGGGCCACGTGGTCCTAACAGAGCTGAGTCGGCCGGCAAAGTCCCGCCGACAGGGTGTCCGTGAAGTTGGCTCGTACTTTTTCCAAAATGAAATTTTTTTTATACCGGATTGTACTTCACAAGAGTACACAAGATTTATGCACAATGAATTGGTCACGATATAACCCAATATAGCTAGTCAAAATATACCCGTATACAACCTACATTCATTGTTTACAACCGATGTGTAAATGTTTATTGGCAAAAAGCAAAAAAACACGTATTTCTTCATTTTTTGTGAGCAATCATATGGCGTAAGTGGAACTTAAGTAGGAGTGCTTGTTTAATATGTATTAGAAAAAAATGTCGCCTGAAGGGTAGTTCACCCCCTTGGGGGGTTGTAGCATTGCTGGACAATATTGTGTTTTCACCATCCTTATACAGAATACGTTTATACCAAGTTTCGTCGAAATCCCTCCATTGCTTCTACGAAAATTGTTATAAAAGTCGAATTTTCGCCAAACTTTGGGGGGTTGTTTCACCCCTTAAATGTGGATCATTGCAGATATAAAAAAACACGTATCTCTTAGATTTTTGTGTTGTTCGACATATATGAAAATCAATAAGATCGGGGGCGGACACTTGGGAATGTTTCCTTGTGAGTTGGGGAGTCGCCCAAGTGGGGAGTTTTGCCCAAGTAGAGAATCGTCTAAGCGGTAACTTCTGACTAAGGATACCGTGGAACCTATGCTCTGATCCACGGCGATAATCGTATCTGTTGCGTTGAATTAGGCTTCAAAGTAGCAGCATTGCTAAGCACTCTCATAAAGTTACTTTTGCTTTTATAATTTTATCTTCACAGCGTAATAATGAATCACGTTCCGAAAATCTTGAACGTGGTTTTATCTGAAGAATTCCGAAATATAATAGACGAACATGGTATACCGGCCAAACTAAGCTCTCTTCTGTATGTACGCATCAGTACAATTTTGAATGATTCCATTAAACCGAAATACATATATGTAATACCAAAAACTAATCAATATGGGATTGTAGATAAATTTCTGGAATTTTACGAAGTAAAACGAGATGAAACGTTCTCCGACCAAAACACTACCGCTAATACGAACAGTTCTATAGACCATAATACCGTCTCATTCAATGTTAAAATTCCTTTTAAAACATGGTTTCTTTTGAAGCCAACACAAGTCTCGTATACTTTAAAGTTAGGTACTGTAAAAAAACATACGCAGTTGTTGCATAAAAATTGGACTGACATTTTGCATGAAGCTATTTACAATGAAACTAAATTACCGTGCGCAATTTCATTTAAGAGGTGCAAAATATCTTCCCATGGGATATATGCGACCATAACGGCATCGTGCAAAGAATGCAACTGTAGCCTAGTAGGCTCCATTGTTAACGAACCTACGGAAAACTCGGGTCACTATTGAGTGCACGATAAAGGACTTCGATCCTGCTATACTACACTCAAAAAAGCGACATTTAAGAGCAAAAGGTGTGCCCAAGTTTCGAATCTCTCATCAGAAGCAACTGTACTGCCATGCATTTGGCGTAGAAAAGAAGCAGATCGGTTAATGGATTTTGGAGATAATGAACCCCCACATTTACCCTCTGAAGGGACATTACGTAAAGCTAAAGAAGAAAGAGTTAAGGGCGCTCACCACTCCAGTGATTTTGCAGGGCCTCACGGGGACAACGATTCCGAACGTATTTATAAACCGATCGAGCTTAACGAGTGCTCATATTGAAGATGAAACGTTGACCTGTGTTTATATGGGAGCGATTTTCGATAAGTGGTCATTTTCATATAAAAAAGTGCAACGACATAATTTCAATGCCCTTTTTACTAGGAAGGAGGTGCTCGATCGAAAATCGCTTCCATATAAATACACGTCAACATTTTATCTTTAAAACGAGCACTCGTTGAGCCCAAGCGGTTGAGAAATACGCTCAAAATCGTTGTCTCCATGGAGCACCTTTTTCAGGATTTTCGAGTTTCTCGCGAGGAATTTGGGCATTCTTTAGCAACCGTTGCCGACTCTAGGCGGAGCGTCCAACTTGCGTGTGCGTGCGGCCGGGTGTCACCCACGTTTCGGCGCCTAGTCCAGAGGCGTCTAGCCGTTGTGTGAGTCCTATACGTGCAAAATACGTACACATTTTTCGCCCGTTGCTAAACACCGCCCATTATGCGTCGCGTCTCCCTCATCCGAGCGAGAAAGTACGTTTTGGTTACCTTCCACCGAATTCGATGCTAGTGCCATCTAGCGGTGGAAGTCATCGTCCCCACTTTAGTGGTGAATGCCGTTAATCTTAATTTGAGTATCAAACATATTGATCCGATTAAAAGTATATTTGAAATTAAGTTAGGAAATTATGTCGGGGCGAAACGCTCAATCGGATTGGATCCTTTTTTCGTGCACTATTTTACGCCAGAACAACTGGCTGTTTATGTGAAATACCATGAATTAATATGCATTGACGAAACTGGATCGTTAGTCAAAAAAATAAGAAACCCGATTGGTGAACCATCTTCTCACGTATACCTTTACCAAATAGTGACATGTACTCCTTCTTCGAAAATGCCTATTTTTCAAATGCTGAGCGCAAGTTAGCATACGAACACCATCCTATATTGGCTGAACGAAATACTTCGTATTGGTTTATCAGTAACTTCAACATTTCCGCTACCACGCGTAATCGTATGTGATTTCGATAAAGCATTGTTAGGAGCTATTCGTGCATTTTCACAGTGCAAGAATTTAAAACATTACTTATCTTTGTGTTTTTTGCGAATATATGATAATTCGTGCAATTTATCATCATGTTTTGTACGTCTGGACGTGTGTCGTTTTATGAAAATGGTATCGAAATGGAAACCCACTTAATTCGATACAATCGCGAGTCAAAAAGTTTTATTTAATTTTAATGGGCATTCTAGCTCAGGCAACAGACTTCGACAATTTTTGCAATATAGTGCGCGATATTATCTAGCGAGGGTTGTGGAAATTATAGTAATGAGAAAAAATCCTCTATAGAATTAGCAAAAATGCGTTGTATTAGCCTTGTTAAAGGATGTAGCAATAAAGAAGTTATGAACAATATTGACATGCACAATACCGAAGAAAACGATTACATCAATTACAATGATGACATGTACCCTATCGATTACTCGGTTAACTCTACTCGATTACCTCTTGGAGTTCGATGCTACAGGTCACTACTCAAGGAAAAATCCCACATGTCCTTTTGATACTACGCAAGACCAGGTGGGCTACGGGAAATAGGTTGAAATTGATACCGACTATTTATATCCCCATTACAAATATCATTTAAAACAGTCAATTTGACCCGTTGATGGTAAGTTTAGTGTTAATTTTATTCAGAAGTCAACATATTCGATACCGATAGGGTACCACGTGCGTCATTGAATATCTTTTCAAAATAATCAACGGTGTATCTTGAACAGTAACTAAAACATAACTACATAGCATTACCGTAATGAGTTGAAAGCACCTTTTTGCTGATAAATATAAAGCTTTTCTATTTAACTTTTATATTCTACACATTTATTCTACTGCATAAATACAACAAGAACTTACCTGATTAGTTGAATTATTGAGAGCGTCGAGAACAGCAGAATGATTGTATCCCAAGGGTACAGAAGAAATCTGCATATAGAGATCGAGTAGTACGTTCCCGTCAACGTCAGCGATGTAATTACCTATTGATCGCTCGTAGTCGGCAATCAATTCTACAGACCCTGCTTGCTGCGCATACAAAATAATAAATTCATGAATATATTATTCCCTCTTTAATCATTGATATACTACGGTATATGTATTTTATGAGTTGTGACGTGGCAGGATTCTGCCGTCACAAGTCGGAGCGGAGAGGGAACGGTGAGTACCAGATTATTTGTTAATTCCTCTTAGCATCGGTTGGTGACGCTCGGAACTTCCGGGAACAAAAGTAACTGTAAGTAACGGCGATTTTTTGTATGATTATGCCGTTTAAGTAATCCGTCGGCGGCCGATTTACCGCGCACCGTCCCGTATAGGCCTTTTTTTACCGTGCCGCGTCGAGGAGGGTTTATGGTGAAGGTGCTCCCATCTAGCGGGCGATTAGCGGCTTTCGGCGGAGCGTGGACCTTCAATCGGCGCGTCGCGAGACCTTTCCCGACATCTAGTGTGGGCCTAGTTAATCACCTAGTGCCAAACGGTCTCGTGGTCGCCGGAGGAATTCGGGAGGGGGTTTTCCGTGATTCGGGCGATCCTGCCGGCCCTCGGAGCTCATTGTCCTGGATGTTCCACTACTTCTTCAACACTCTTAATTCACTCCAATTCTTAGGAAACTCTTGGTAGACTCTCAGAAAATCTCTGAAGCTAATTCTTAACATCTTGATCATTTTCCAAAAGTCTAAAATTTTGTTCGAGGAGAGGACATCACTTCAGGGAAAGAATTAAGGTATTTAGAAAAGGCCAACCACCCACCCACACACATATCCACCTCCACGCGCCCGGCGCGCACACGCTTGTATATTCCCATGATCCTCTTTTACACCATAAACCAAGTAAAATTAACTCCCATTTTTCTCTTTTTTTATAACTTACACCTCCACCAATATCGATAAGTCCGCGTAGGATTTGCTGAAGGGCCCCACAAGATTCCTATCCCTAATTCCTCTGATTATACAGAAGGCGCGGGGGCTGGGTCTCGCCTTCCCTTTTCTATAAGAATCCTTACCCGAATTTCTCTAATTCCTAAATCGTAAGGAAGGTGCGGGGACTAGACCCCCCCTCCCCAATTTTGTTCCAGGAGAGGACATCACTTCAGGGAAAGAATTAAGGTATTTAGAAAAGGCCAACCACCCATCCACACACATATCCACCCCCACGCGCCCAGCGGGCACACGCTTGTATATTCCCATGATCCTCTTTTACACCATAAACCAAGTAAAATTAACTCCCATTTTTCTCTTTTTTTACGACCTACACCTCCACCAATATCGATAAGTCCGCGTAGGACTTGCTGAGGGGCCCCACAAGATTCCTATCCCTAATTCCTTTGATTATACGGAAGGCGCGGGGGCTGGGTCTCGCCTTCCCTTTTGTATAAGAATCCTTACCCAAATCCCTCTAATTCCTTAATCGTAAGGAAGGTGCGGGGACTAGCCCCCCCCCCCCCCAGTACATGAAAAATCCTATCTATTCATTCGATTTTATAGCAGGCGCGGGGGCTAGGTCTCGCCTTCCCCCCTGTGTACGAATCTTTTCCCTCTCCGTTCCCCAGACGTAACAGTACCCATCATTTTTGTATAAGCTTCACATTACCTGCATAGAATTTAATTCTTGCAACAAACGCTTTGATTCAGGACCAGGTAACTCCGTAGTCAGTACTGGCCTCTTCGGTTCTCCAAGTAGGGGCCCAGAGAGAGATCTCTGCCATGTTACACTACATCCTGAAAATGAATTGTCTCACTTATTGAAAATATAAGTATTTGATATTTCATATCATTATGAATTTTAAATAACCATTATAAGTGCATTGATTATAACTTTTTGGATGCTTTAGGGACTTATGTCTTTGTCATATTGTTAGTATCAGGAAACTCGGTACAGTTTCGAGTCAAATACGTACACATCTTGCTTACCATTGTACTAGTACAAAAAGTCATTCCATCATTTGGTTGCTACGTGGAATACCCTCGCATTCTTACGTACAGTTATCAATAAATAATGTATGAAACATAAGTCATACCAAGTATGTATTAACATTATTTAGTGCCAGGCAACAAAATTGTTCATAGTTTTATATTCGTGATTAAGGAAAGTGGAGAGGGAGTCTCTGCAAACGAACTATATTTATACTTGTTACGTATTAAATGATATCAATTCTTTAGTAGACTATGCACGGATTAAAAATGCTTCTGAACTTCTTATCAATATCTGATTTCATGACATTTACAGGTTAGTTTTTATTTATTTTACTACTTTTGCTGCAGTAAAATAATGACGTTTTATATTATTATGAGAGTTAGTCCTAATTCTTAAAGTTTTTGCGATAGTTAATTGCTTGTGTATCATCGTTCACCGTTCGCAGGACTGCCGATTTGAAAACATAATTCTGCAGAATCGGCAAGCCGGCGGCCGAAATTTGACCGAGCACATCACAATCATACTCACAGGTCATACAACCCCACCCACGACTAACGTTCTTTTTAACCTTATACAGGGTGCAACAGAATTCGTAGCAACGATTTATACAGCGCTATTCTTGCTGAAAAACGAGTCTAAAAGTTCTGTACTATTTTTTTCTACAGAGCATAAATTTCCTGTAATAACCAAGTGAAGAACAGCCAATGAATTGCGTTTCCGAATAACAGGCATATAGAGTTCTAAATACAGTAAGTTACGTCAGAAACGAAGAGAAATTCCCGGTAACTTATCGGTCATTTCTCCAAAGCCTTTTTTATCGAGAAATTATGAGAATTTGAATTTTTCAACAGAGCGAACGAGAGGTTTCGATTAGCTATAGAGAAACATCGTAGAGGGGAATTTCCGTTGTACGTTCTCCGTAGCCAATCAAAACCTCCCATTCGCTTCGTCGCAGAATGAAATATCAGTTCGTTTGAAACAAATCGCATGGAATTTTCCGTGAAGTTGTACATACGTGAATATTTTTAGCTGGAGGTAAATACGACCCTATAATCAATATTTTCTAATAGTAATTATTACTCTATAGCTTGAACTTTGAAGTTGATTGAAAAAAAAAAGTTATTTAAAGGAAGAAACCTAAAGTATAAACAATAAAATTAACGTTCTCTTAAATTCTCAATGTTCCCGGTAACTTACGGTATGTTTCACAGTTACCTTTTGCAATTTAATGTTACTGAGAATTTTCGAACTCTACAGGCATAGCGGAGAGGACGTCGGTAAGGATGCTACGTCACAGACAGCCGAACGCATCCTTACCGGTTCCCTCTCCAGTATGCGTTCCGTTGGGGAACACGATTGATTAGCTGTGCTTCAATTAGTTATAACAGGAAGTTTATGGACCGTAGGAAAAAGTAATACAGAACTTTTCGACTCCTTTTTAACAAGGATAGCGCTGTATAAACCGTGACTACGAGTTCTGTTATACCCTGTATGAATGCTCAAAAACAGTACCGGTCGGGCTTGGAAGACGTTGACCACCGTTTGATAATGGCGTGTCCTAGGGAATTCTGTATCACTGGAATCCTCCCACACGGAACAAAATCTCTAACGTACGTACATAGAATGTTTTCATATCTATGGGATGTTTCAGTATATCAAATGTTAAAAATATATGTATAATATATCTTGACGGAATATCCGAAACATTCTATTGGAAGTTAGATGTGCATTATATGTATTAAATACGTTACTAGAACATCCAAATTTTCACCAATTAAATACGTTTAGTAAAAGTATAATATATCTCTATTTAACAGGTATTTGTATCTACAGTATTTCACGTGAAAATTATATATAATACATGTATGTTGTGTGTATATTAATTGAAGCCAAATTGACCTGTTACGGACGTAAAATGTACACATATTTTATGTACGTAAATATACATTACTTTACTCACATGTTTGATACATGTACGTTGTAAGGTACTAGAACATGCACATTTTCACCAATGCAATAAGTTAAGTAAAAGTGTAATATGTCTCTATTTGTTGGGGTAACTGGTCGCTACGAGGAGTGCAGTTTGCCCACTTGCTGAGCCTATGCGGATAGTTTGAAGCCTTTTTGGGCTTTACTTGCCACTTACTTATAGCTAACGTAATATAATCGTCGCGCGTTCCAGCGGTGTCCGTGAAGTTGGCCCCTACTTTTTCGAAAAAAAAATTTTTTCTTTAAATAAACTTTTTAAATTTTATGAAGATGTATTATATTTATATAATTTTTTTTAACGGTACAATGTTCCGTACAATTAGTACAATCCGGTACAAAAAATAAAATTTTCATTTTCGAAAAAGTAGGGGCCAACTTCACGGACACGTTCCAGCGACTAGCCACCATAACCACCGGAAGTAACAGACGCGCGCCTCTACCAACAGCCCCATACACGGTCCGGCGGCCGAATGTTTTTATGTCTATGGGATGTTTCAGTATATCAAATGTGAAAAATATATGTATAATATATCTTGACGGAATATCCAAAAAATTCTATTGGAAGTTAGATGTGCATTATATGTATTAAATACGTTACTAGACATCCAAATTTTCACCAATTAAATACGTTTAGTAACACTATAATATATCTCTATTTAAGAGGTATTTATATCTAAAGTATTACACGAGAAATGACATCCAATATATGTATTGTAACGGGTCCAAATTAAGAGTGCGCGAAACTGTTCCATGGCCATTATTTAGGCATACGTAGGACATGCGCAATTAGGATGGCGTAAGAGTAGGGAGGCCTCGGGAGAGGGAAGCGCGGCTCGCGAGCGCGGAGCATCGCGAGAGAGCACTCCAGGGGGTCGACACTCCTTATGGGAGAGGTGTAACGCTGAAGTTAGTTCACCTACTCCAAGCAAAGACTGCGCTGGTGTCGTGACTTTTCAGTCGAATAGAAAGAGAAGAACACAGAACAAATTTTCTAACCAATAGCAAGAGACTCCAGGAGGCGCAGCGTAGATGCGCATAAAAATAGTCGGGACAACTGAACCAAAGTGAACCTAACCTCGATTAGTGGCAATATTTTCACAAGTTTCGATTACCTCGGGTATTAAATCGCGAACGTGAGTTTGCCAGTAATAGTGTAAATCAAGAACAGTTTGTACTTTCTTACTATAATAATTGTAATAATTAAATGCGATCTATAGATCGCATTTAATCCATGCAAGTAATCATAGCAAAAATTAAATTTGTATAGAATTTGTATATTTATACATTCATAATAATTAATATTTTTATCTTAATAAATGTGTGACTTTTTAACTAATGTTTAATGTAATTATTTCAGTTCTTACAGTGATTTAAAACAGGCGTTGCGCCACTGACACTTTTGTTACTTCTTTTATGTTTAATATACCGTTTTCTTACATTTGTGTGTCAGTTTAAGCAACGTCTGTTTTGATCATTACAAGTACTTTTTAAATCCCAAAAATATCCCTTCGTTTAATAAATGAATTTAAATAGCCCGCCAAATATTTTAGTTCGCGAAGAAGGTTTACTCCAACCGAAGATGTCGGTAGTGCATAAAGCGTTACACCCCAATACATGGCAGTGTCGACCCCCTGGAGCACTCTTACCCTGGGATATGAATCGTGTATCAACCAACGGCTCTCTCTCTTGGATCGGAACTTTCGACTCGATCGTAGGTATCAGAATCGGTATCGAGAAGCGTACTCGCTAGTTCGCGATCGAGAAATTGATGCCACGGGTAAGTACATTCTTTTACAAATCAACAGGTCTGGCACAATTGCCACTCCTGCATCTTTCATTCCTCGTATTCCTCCAAACTAATTTCCTACCTCACCCCATCGGTCTTGGTATTGCACCAACTCGCGAACACCTTCAACAAGCAAAACCTAATTACCAGTCAATATCCGCGACTGGCTAATTCAGAATAAGTCGTACTAACCCTCGTAGAGCCAAGCTCCGGGAAGAATCATAGATTCGCGGACCTAAGTAGTCCGCGACTCGGTACTAAAACTCAATTAGTAGAAATAGATCTCGTTTAGGCTGATCAGCCACTCGCAAAGTAAGGTTAGAATTCCCTGAACAAGGTTCAAAAAAGAACCCCAAATTCACTCCTGTAGGATCAGCTAGCTCTATGCTCGGAATAGATTTTTGCACGCGGATCAAGTAAGACGGAAAGTCGGCAAATTTGATGCACGGACTAGGGACTAACCGCCCTAAACTTCTTAACAATCCAAATTTATCCAAAAAAACCTGAAGTTCCATTATTTCAAATCTTGCTGATTCAATGAAGAAACTATAGAGCGCACCATATAGTGTTATAGCAACATATAGTGTTTGAAAACCTGGCACCGCATACTGCTCGCTGGCGCGGCGTTACCACTCGGCTATGCAGTAGTTGCGAGAACAGCTAACTCCACTGTCTTATATTCTACGAATCACATTCCTTTGAACCCAAGAGGTAATTTACCCTTCGAATGTATTGTATGTTACCTGATCGTATTCTTTTATTAATTTTAATCGTTAAAGTCCTTTAAGTCCAAGAAAATCGTACAAAGCTGGTTTTAAAACGGGATTATACATCATTTTATTAAAGGGTTGTTACAACCCTTAAAATTCGTTTTTCGAAAAAAACCAAAATAAGCTTTTTTTGTATTGTTCTGGTCTATAAATTAACCAAGTTTCATTTGGATAGAGCAATTACTGCTCGCGTAAGGGGTAAAAGAAGTATTCAAAGGGGTGGCTCACCCCTTAAAAATGAATTTTTTTGAAAAATTCCAAATGCACGTTTCATAATTCTTCATTTCCTACATTTTGACGGTTGTTTCATGAAAATCGGTCGAGTGCTTCTGTATGAAACAGTCAACTCACCCCCTTGCACGGCCAACTTTGAAGCCTGATTTCACCCCCTAAAAGTGTTGATCCGCCGATAAAAAAAAAAACACGGGTCCCTTAGATTTTAGTCCTCTGTAACATGTTTAAAAATGAACAAAATCGGAAGGGGACACCTCAGGTACCTTCCTTGTGAGAGTCAAATTCCCATCCTTCCTTTCCCTTTAACTAGGGCCAGAAAAACAGGAACCGCGATAATTGGATTGGGACTGCACCTAATTTAATTAAAGCGGTCCTAAGAGTGAGCAATTTTTTAAGAATTTTAAATCGCCAAGACGTGTGAAATGATTCGGAAGCAAAGTCCCTAACTACGGAAAAACTCGCTAAATCCGGATTCGGTCGACAGGCCTCCGGACTCTCCATAATATTTACGCGCTCAGCTGATCGTTCATGAAACATTCTCCCCGCTCTCTTGCCAGTCTCAAATCTTTGAATACTAAATCTAAATTAATTTCATGTATCAGGAATCGTGAGGCTCTAACCCTCGAAGGATACAGCTTTTCCGTTGCAGAAGCACGGTCTAAAGCTGCATACCATTACATATATATGTGTATGTATGTATGTCACGTGGCAGCTTGTGGGATATTGTCAGATACCTATCGCATACTAGTGGGACGCTTGGTGTCTTTCAGGACCGTCTNAGCTATGAACAAAACCGATTAGAACATTTAATGCAGAGATATGAAATTTGAAATATTTCACTTCGCCTTGGTTACTTGATGTGTAACCATTACAAAATTTGACTACAGAAAGCTATGAACAAAACCGATTAGTACATTTAATGCAGATATATGAAATTTCAAGTATTTCACTTCGCCTTGGTTACTTGATCTGTAACCATTACAGAATTTGACTACAGAAAGCTATGAACAAAACCGATTAGAACATTTAATGCAGAGATATGAAATTTGAAATATTTCACTTCGCCTTGGTTACTTGATCTGTAACCAATACAAAATTTGACTACAGAAAGCTATGAACAAAACCGATTAGTACATTTAATGCAGATATATGAAATTTCAAGTATTTCACTTCGCCTTGGTTACTTAATCTAACCATTACAAAATTTAACTACAGAAAGCTATGAACAAAACCGATTAGTACATTTAATGCAGAGATATGAAATTTGAAATATTTCACTTCGCCTTGGTTACTTGATCTGTAACCATTACAAAATTTGACCACAGAAAGCTATGAACAAAATCGATTAGTACATTTAATGCAGAGATATGAAATTTTAAATATTTCACTTCGCCTTGGTTACTTGATCTGTAACTATTACAGAATTTTACCCGCAACTTATACAAAAATTACCTGTTACTTTCACAGATATTTTTCTGTTATGTTTACTGGTATTAAGTTGTATTCTTTGCAGATACTTATCAGTAATACTTGCAAACACTTATCCGACAATCTTTACAGAGAGTTATTCGAATTACTTTTACGGACAATTATCCATAACCTTTGTAGATATTTATCCGTAACCCTTTCAAATATTTATATCTAATCGTTATAGATATTTATCTGTAATCTTTACGGATCTGAGTGATAAAATATTTATCGTAACGCTAACAGATATAACCTGCTGTCCTTATTTTAACAGATAAAATCTGTAAGTTTAATAGATTTGTTTTCTCCGTGTAGAGCAGTAAAGTGCTAATACTGTAACGTAACGAAAAACGTCGTTGAAATATCTGTGTAATTTTAAATGTTAATAACTCAAGAAATATGACCTATTCAAACACACACTAGGCTACTTGTCTTTATTTTGGCTCTAAATTAATTTGTATAAAGCTCATTAAAATCCTCGATCCGATTGATGTAACCGCTCCCTGTATGAAAATTTCGTGTTCTTCTCAAATGTGTTTATTTTGGAAATTCATTATTATTTAATCGTTTGCATATATTAACATTACAATCAAAAGCACATGGATCCGATTTTTCGCAAAATCATTTTTCTCAGTAACAAATCTTTCAAGCACAACGTAATGACTTTCCTATTTAAAAATTTAGTTTATATTTCAAAGTAAGGTTTTAATTCACAGGTACACTAGAGAATAGAAAGTAAGTACATTTAAAATAATCTCCTAAATTAAGTTTTAAATTATGGATACTGAGACACTAAACTGCAGTTAAACATGTTGATGTCTTTTCACAGTTTACGTCCTTTGTATCCATACGTGACAATGTGAAAATAATTCGTAGTAACGCGTTCGGATTCTTCCATTTGTAGGCACAAAACGAATTCGAAAGAAGGATATTTTGAGATAATATTTAGATTTAAGAGTGCTTCGCTTCTCCCTACAAATAACGCCTTTCTAAACTCCCTAATAGTAACACCAAATATTTGTCCTATATTTTCTATAAATTTAACGAACATCGTACATTTTGTAAATATTTAGCAGAAATTTGAAATATTTGCAAAACGATTACTTTAGAATATTATCTNTATCATCCGCCTAAATAAAATATCTTTTGTAAGTATGTAGATCTGTTTTAGGTATATGGCTATAGAATATACATAATAAATATCTAAAGGATATATGTAAAATATGTAATTGAGATTTTCAATAAATATTTCAAATATCTTCGAATGAAATCTACACGACATCTTAAAAAGTCTGTTGTTTGAGATATTTAGCAAATATTACACATGTATTTATAAATTATTCTATGCTACTAGGGGTATTACACCTAAATGCGTATATATGTGCCCATAATTATGAGTGGTCTAAGTCAAAATTAAAAAAAAAAAGAGTATATCAGTTATTTCACGCCATATTATTTCAAACGAAATTAATTCAATGTAATTTCGAAAAAAAAAATATATGACTTAGACCACTTACATAATTATGGGCACATATGTGTGTTCGAACGTCCGAAATTAATGGTTCCGAACTTTTTCACGGCCTTAAAAAGGTTGGTAAGGAGGTATTCACTCAGGAAATCATTGATTTTAACACTCGAAATAATGCGAAAATTAGCTGTAAATCGCAAGCAGAGATCACTGGAAATCGTCGGAAATCACCAAAACACTGTCACAATTTTAAGACCGAACGTCACATGTTACCGAGTCGCATTATGGTTTATCACATGAACCGAAAGGCAATTGGCTCTCAAAGAAGGATCTCGTTTTCACTAATTTCCGAGTTAATAGCCCTTCGGGTCGTATGTTAGTTGTCTGAAAACTGCTACGTCCGGGCAGCAAACATTTCTATATGTGTCCATAATTATGAAAGTGGTCTAAGTCAAAATTAAAAAAAAAATGAGTTTATCAGTTATTTCACGCCATATTATTTCAAACGAAATTAATTCAATGTAATTTCGAAACAAAAAATATATGACTTAGACCACTTTCATAATTATGGGCACATATGATTCCCTTAGTTGATTTCATAGTAATCGATACCGTTCTAGTATTTCCCCTTCCTAAACGCGGAAAGAGATACGAACCCTGTTCCATACCATTGATAAATAGTCGATTTCGCCGCCAAATTCCAGAAATGAGCTGCACCTTCCTGGCGAGCATATTGATTTTTTTTTAAATCGAAACCGTCGGAACTTCGTGAGTTTTTACGAGAAGGGGTTTCCAATACGCAGGCTCTAACGGGATAGTTCGCCGAACTCCGCGTACACTTCAAGACAAACTGAATGAATGTTAATTGAACGGGGGGATCTCGCTACGTAACACGCATCAAATCTCGTTGGACGACTTAGGGCTACTGACGCTGAACGCGACGTAGCCCCACTAATGGCCGATTTTCCGAGGATTCGACGCGAAGCGGTACGAAGCTCGACGCGCCGGCGCAATTTTCGTCGTTCCGATGCTCTGCTTTGCGCTTTTCCAGGCAACCCATCAAGTGGAACATACGTAAATTAGTCGTCTAAATTAAGTCTACCGAATCAAAAACACCTTCTTCAGGTGTAAAAAACTTCGCCAAATATATATATGTGCCCGTCACTAGTCCTTCCTGTTATAATCTCGGTTACATTATGTTAATACGGTCCCGAAACAACTGAAATCAATTATAATGCACCAAATACGAATAATCTTTCTTCTCGGGTTCATTCAGTTCTTTTATTAGCTAAAGAAAAAATACACAGATCTTTTATTAGCTAAAGAATGAATACACAGAATTTATAAAACTATATAACAGAATCTATAACATAAAAAATATATACAATTTTTTAAACATTTTTGGCGAGCC